AGAAATCTGGAATCCAGAGAACGCGTTGCACATATTCTGAGCCTGGATATTTTTAGTTCTATTTGTGTAATAAACTCTACTAATGGATTTATTTACATATAACTGTGTTTTTTTCTATTTTAGATGGAGCAGATTAAAAGGGCAAATAAACTGTTTACCAGTGATTGTATATTTCTGAAAAAAACTTTGAACATCCCAGTTATATCAGAGAAGCCTTTGTCGTTTAATGGGCTTAACTCAATAGATTCTCCAGAAAGTGAAACTGTTGGTAGCAGTTTTTCTCACGAAGAAGAGCCAACAGCAGCTGGGGAAGACCTCTCTCCTCCTAGTCCTCAAGAATCCGATGGTCAGCCAGTACAGCCTGAAGAAGTATCAGCTAGAGATTTCCTGCAGAGACTAGACTTGCAGATTAAGTTGTCAACACAGGCAGCCAAGAAACTAAAAGAAGAGAGCAGGTAAAAATACGCTGGTAAAATGTCAGAGGCTGAATGAATTACAATGTCCTTGCTTAGCTACGTTTTGTTTTGTTTTCTCTTTGCTCTTCTCTTTCTTTTTCTTTAAAAACTGTATTTTAACTCTGGAAAGTCATTTTCAACATATGAAGTCTAAAAAGAGCTACTACATTCTGCTTAGGGCTTTATCTGTTGCAATGTACTTGTTTTTGTCTCTGTTACTTATTATAAAAAGTTTGCTTCTTTGCTTTAGTAGCATAACTGTCCAGCCAGCAATTCTGGATAGCAGCCAAGCGAAACATCTAGTTTACCCCTTCAAAGGAAGCAGTGCCTGAGGGAATATGATCCTAATGCAATTTGTCAAAGACATTGTCCATTATTTGTTACTGGGTGTTTTTCATGTGAACTTTTTTCTTTGTTCTTTAATTTGATACTAGGGCAACTCTTTGTCCTACATAATTGGTTTTCTTTTTCCTTTATGATTCCAAGAATGGCACAAGCTGTTTTTATTTCCTTTTTTGCCATGGCTGTCAGGAAGCTTACAACTAAAACTGACATTGAGTTCAACTACTACAGTATTTCTTATGGTTAATAAATGTGTATTCTTCTCCTTCCCTTAATTCTGATTTTTTAATTTCTATCTAATTCATCTTATTATATGTATGCCCTTGGTTGTTAGCACATCAAGTCCTTTTGAGAAAAAGGTGGAATGTAAACAAATATAAACAAACATGAATATAATAATTTTATAATTTAATGTTTTTAAAAAATGTAATAGAAAAATATAAATATATAACAAGTGCCATTCTTTTTTTTTTTACAAGTACCCTTCCTTATTCCAATAACTGAGATGCCAATGAAATGTAGATAATATGGTATACCCAAATGAGTATTTGCATTTCATACAACTTTCCAGACCTGCAAAATATTATAAATAATAAACTCTTACCCTTCTTTGGCAAGTGGATATTAAGTTATATATATGTATTAGTTTTCTGAATATCATTTTTAAACACTGATTTATGCTGAATTTCTTTTTTTCAGAGATGAAGAAAGTCCCTATGCAACTTCCCTCTATCACAGTTAGATGATCAAGGGTGATAATCTAACCTGGATTGAGAGCTGTTTGGATCGTAACGAAAACAACTGAAGATTCAAAAGCATTCATCCTTTAAATCACAGTTTAGTAGTTCCACCTACTGCAATTGCACTGAAATGATTATTTCCCTCTGGCTTTCTATAATTTTAAGTCTTTATTATGGCATGAGAGCAAAATTATATCCTAAAGCTCATCACTTTTGTAGGTGATGGTAGTTTTTAGACTAGTTTTTGTAAATACTAGTTAACATAAAGCATCAAAGACTATATATACATATTCAAGCTGAAAACAATGTTGGTCGTCTGAGAAATCTTAAATATGTGAAATACATGGTTGCTGTTTAAGTGATGCTGATTTTGCTATGTATTTATAACTTAAGTGCTATATATATATATTTCGATATGTATTACATATTCTGTATTAATATAAAGAACCAAATTTTGTCTGCTATTTTGTAAAATAAACTACAAAAGGCTGAATGAGAAAATAAATTATGTTTTCATATTTGAGTCGTCAGTTTTTTTTAACAAATGGAAAAGTAAAATCAATTAAAAAAATTTTTGTAAAGATTTTATTTATTTATTCATGAGACATACAAGGAGAGAGGCAGAGACACAGGTAGAGGGAGAAGCAGGCTCCATGCAGGGAGCCTGATGCGGGACTCGATCCCAGGACTCCAGGATCACACCTGGAGCCAAAGGCAGACACTTAACTGCTGAGCCACCCAGGCGTCCCAATTTTTAAATTATTTTTGAAATAGTAACAGCTTCTCCTCCATTTGAATTGCTTTATTATTATATTTGGAATTTTAAAAACATTTCAATAATCTAAAAGCAAATCGATTATAGGTATTAGTAACCTTTGCATTTTCGTAATATTTGACCTGATTTGTTTGAGATATGGTATAAACATAGAATATGATCAGAAGGAGAAATTAAAAATGCCATGCTCTGATGCATTGGTGAATTCTAGTTTAGATTTTACTAAGTCACTTTGTAGGGTGTTTTGTAGTCATGGTGCTCATTTGGATTGAGGGTTAAGTTTTTATTCACATAATTTATCTTTTATCACATGTACAGGTTATAGCTGTAAATCTTAAGCAAAATATTATTTACAATTAATTTTTTTTTGGGGGGGGAGTCTTAGTTTTTATTCAAGTACCAGATTAGATAAATCTTTAAACTTCCACAATATCCCTTATATCCCCAAAGGAATGTACTTTCTGTGGGGGCAAACAGGATTCTCCCTTCATTTTCTTTTCCCCGTCTTGCTCCTCCAGGTCTTCCCTTAAGCAAGAAACCGGTGCCCACAGATGTCAATGCAGCAGAGGTTGTAGGACCAGAATTATACATACCCAGCCCTTGAGGTGCATGCATGGGAAACAGTAGTTGAATGCCCTTGTCTTGAATTTCTCGTTTGTTCATAATAGACATAATCCCTGACGTTTTGACTTCTCTTGCTGTTATCATTTTTGATATAGGGTGATCTTTTGATCGTGCTTTGCTACTACCTGACGAGAGGGAGTTAGTTGGCAGAGGAGAAAACAAAAAGAAAAACAAAGGAAGGGAAAACGTTGTGTATGCAAGGCAAGGTCTAGGCCTCTCTGGAGGAACAAGAATTTAAAAAAATGTAAAGTTATCATGTTGTTTAACATGAGTTGGTCTTAAACTTGGGAGTAACCCAAAAGATAAAAATCCAAAAATGCTACCTAAAAGATGTACTATAAGCAGAAATTTAAAATTAAGACTACCATCTTAAAAAATATTCTTCTTAGTATTTCGTTGTTGCCTCAGGTCTACTCTAAGAAGTGTCTGGCCAACACATCTCTCTCCTTCAAGTTATTTAAAACTCAGGATTCGTTGTGGCCACAGTTGAACTGTGTTGGGTCAGAGGACTTTAGTACTGCCTTGGAGGAGTGGACTGAGTCACAAGAAAGCAGGTTTGAGGCCCAGTTTTAACCACTTACTGGCCACCCGAGTTTAAGCACACCCTGTGCCCTTCTTTTTATGAACCACTTTCCTCATTTCTAAAACAGGGCCGATGATCTCCCTTTTGTCTTGGCTACTGCTGGGAGCTAATGAATGTGTGTCAGAAAACTACAATAAACCCCTAAACAAATGTCTTATTTAAAAATAGACTGCATAGATATCTAGATTAATTGTAGAAAAGTAAATAGATCAAATGCTTTAATTGTAGCCAGATTTTTTTTTTCCCTGATGTATGAGCAGCCTATTTGGACTATAGAACAGGGGTGAAGTAGTTGGTCATGTTATCAAAGATGACATTAAAACAATCTGACTCACTGTGTTTGGCAAAGATAGTTTGGGCAGAGGTGTGTTTAGTTCCTCTTGATGCTCACCAGGGAGTACTGGCTTCTCTAGAACATACTGAGTTTAGTTTTTGTGGGTGTCAGGCTTTGGTTTTTGTTTATTTTTACAACTCTAGAGAGAATGGGGAGGAAGAGCAGTGGTTTCCTACTTGTGAGAGCCTCTTACATTACAAGTTCCCCAGCCCTCACCAAAAAGTAGATACCAAGTAGAGACAAGTATCAGAAGGTCATTTGAAGTCATGAAAGCTAATACTCAAAGCATTATATAATTTTTAAGATTCCCAACTGAAATATTGAAAAATATGTTATTACTTTATACTGAATAATGCATTTTCAAAGCATTCTTTGGTTTGGAACCATTGCCCATTAACATTTTGGGAGGACCTTGGGCCACTGTATGTTGTTTCCAGGGCTGTGTTTGTGATGGCAGCTGAAGAGGAGTTGCAGGGACCTGTAAGTTCATTAACATTTTCCTCCCGGAAAGCTCATTTCCCAACTTGGTCCACAAAGAAGGGAATGACTGTTTTCTCTACTTCGGTTCTACTACTGGGCCCTCTTGCTCTCTGTTGAGAAACCTTGGCCTGGATTAAATTCAGTTTAGATAACTCAGATCTGCATACATTCATAGTTTTACTTTGCTTTTGTAGTGTTAATGACCTCATTTTTCTTCTTGGAGAGCACATAGTCTTCTCCACTAATAATCTCCATGTCTGAAAATTCAAGAGTGGGGAGATATTGTTAGTGAATCTGGCCAATCCTATGCTTATCTTTCAGGTTCCTTTTTGCACCACTGGGCCTGATAACCAGTAGGAACAGCCAAAAAAAAACCAGAGTTATCCTTTAAGCTAGAGAGGCTTTGAGGAAATGTTAATTTATTTTAACTCCCAAAAGGGAACTGGTAGTGGAAACATCTTGTAACAGACATATTCTATGAGGTGCTTTGGTACCCAGCATGCCTTGAAAACAGAACCTCCTAATTCCTCACGAGGTGCCTATGGGTGTGACACAGTGGGAAGAAGTGACAGTTTCAAGTTCTGTCCATTACAGGTTTTCCAAAGCAATATATCTCTGGTTATAAAATGTAAATCTATAAGGAAATAAGGATTCTATATACAAAATCTTAGCTTACATACGACTTTACTTTTCAGATAGTTTTTTATGGCAAGAAAGCTGTGTTTAACCACTTCTAAAAGGTTAACTACTGCAATTTCATCACTTTCTAATAATCCTTGGGTAAAATAACTTCAATCACAAAATTAGAAGAAGTGTTATAAGCTATGTTTTCTGAAACAGTCTAAAGACTCCTGGATCTTTTGCCATTTTTACAGGCTGCTGTAAATACGCTTGATGGCATTGGCTTCTTCTTTATCAAGGATGCCTTTCTCCACATAAGCATCAGCTTGTTGGTTGATGAAGTCCCTCATCTTTGAGAGGTCATAATCTGGAAAACATCATTAGAGTATCATGAGCAGAGATCAGGAAAGAGACATCCCATTATAATGATGACCATTAACTAAGAAGCTTTTTATGCAACAACGCCAACTACCATTCCATCCCCATCTTTCACATTGGATAACATATTAAGTCTTGGCATTTGTTCAGTCTTTACAGTTTAAAATCCTGTTTATATGTATTATATTATCTCATTTGCTGTCCATCATCACACCTGCAAGGTGTTCAGGTGGGGAAGGATTCCTCATTTGACCATAGAGGAAATAGGCTCACAGACCAGGGCTGTGCAAACTTAATATTAATACCAATCATCTGGGGGCTCTTGCAGATTGGTATTCAGTAGGTCTGAGGTGGAATTCCAGATTTTGCATGTTAAATAAGCTCCCAGGAGATGCTGATGCTACTGGACCAGGAATCACATTGGGATAATAAGATCCTAAAGCTTAAGTGTTGAGGATCACATGGTTAGTAAGAGTTACAAACAGAACCAGGTGTTTCAATTTTCTGCAAATGTTATACAGGTTAAGTGACTATTGATATAACCCACGTTTTTTTTCAAATTAAGAATTACCATGATTTTTCACACTATGATTTATGTGCATGGAGAAAAAAAATATATGTATGTATAGAGTTTTTTTTTTTTTAAAGAGAAGCCTCTTTACAGCTCTTCTGTCCTTCTTAAACAAAAAAACCTGTGTAAACCATCAAACCACCCATCAAAAACAAAGTGATCCCCCAGTAAGGAGGATGCCCGTGGCATGTTTCTGAAGGCTTAAAGAAAACCCACATCCTCTCTTGATGCTTATTGTCTTAAAAAATGGAAAATACAGAAACACGGAAATAAAACTTAAATCATCTGAATTGTATTAATCATATAAATAGCCACAGTTGGTTTTTTCTACTTTTTTCACTTTTCAAATATATCTCAACCCAGAATTGAGATCACAGTAAATATACAATCTTATTAACGAGCTCCTTTCACTTCACCCAGTGAGCATCAATATTCTTCAGCAACACCACTTTTAATGGCTACATACAATGCATCCTCTGGATGTACCAGAATTTATGAAGCATGTCTCTTGGGGTTAGACATGTGGGTCTTCCACACCATGGCGTACTTGGGGAGACCTCCCTGCCCAGATTTTGAGTTGCCTGGAGCTGAGTTTCCTTGAGAACAACACTGTTCACCTTGGCTATAGCAGCCCCTGGGACAGAGCCCTGCCTTCTATCAGGTTGTGAAGAAGAAAAAAAAGGGGAGAGAGAGGGGAGCAAAAGCCCAGAGCACCCCAGGAAAGGAAAACTCTAAAGAACATCTCCGTAAGTGCCAGGTGTTTATCATATCAAGTGAGTGGAGGCTTAGAGAAAGCCTGTTTCCTCCCCACCAAGAAAGGCATCTGCTGCCTTTTGAGGGCTTGGGCGTTAAGATTCAAGAGATAACTGTCAGCCCTGGGCACTTTACCACCATCATCTGACTCGCTCTTCATGAAATTCCATGAGGTAAGTGAGCATTAGTAACCCCATTTCAGACATGAAGAAACGGGCCAGACGAGGTAAGTCACTTGCTTGGGTCATGGCCGAGTCAGGCTCTGATCCCACGTCTATTTGTGGGACAGTCACTGCTTTGGCCATTCTACGGCCTTGAAGCAGTGAACATGAAGCAACTATCAGGTGTAGAAGAAATGCGCAGTAAAATGCTCGCGGTTTTTGTTGTTGCTGTTCTTTTTCAGTTCCCTTACTGTCAGGACAAAACAATATATTTGTGTGCTCCTCACAAGCTTCCTGACCGGCTCAAGGGGTACAAAGAGGTGTGTCTTGATTATCACTGGTTCCAATTACTACTGGCCCTCCCGAGTTGGTTGCAGGGTCAACATCTTTAGTGGGACGCGGGGCAGCCCAGGGGCAGATGTGAAGAGGTCTGGGTGATATGAAAGACAAACAGGAAAATACTTAGCTTTCTTCTGAAATGGAAAAACTGCATCATTAAGACATGGCTGTCACTATGTCTTTTTTTTTTTTTTTTTTTTAAAGCACAGATCTTATTTTTAAGGGTGCATAAAGTTTTATTCTCCTCCTCTGCCTATCACATGGCCTTCCTTTTCCTGGATCTGGGAAGGAGACGCGGTCACTCAGACCCCTGCCTGGCAAAGGGCATCGCAGAGGTTAAGGAAGGTCAGAACTAATAGAGCTAATGGGCTCCCCCTCACACAGCTGCAGCCACTGCCGCCCCAGGAACTAGATCCCCACCCACTTCACGAGATGACCGAGGTCAAGCAGAGCACATATGAAGGCAATGGAGGAAAAGCTCTCTGCTTCTGCCTTTCTGCCTTCAGGAGGGTACCCTGGATGTCACCCTCACTTCCTAGAGGCAGAGGGGAGCATCGAACGCAACACCATCTTTCAGAAATTTGCTCACAGCGCCTACAAGATGCAAGCGCTAGTGTATCCGTGCTTCCCCAGGTTGGTCATTTCTGGAAGTGGAAGAAGATTAGATCGCAGGGTGTTGTGGGTTATGACCAGGAGTCTGGTTCATGTGAATCAGCAAAAGAAAGAAGTACTCCAAATTGTTGGGCCATAAAATTAACACTGGCTTCAGAATGTATTTTGGTACCTACTGTATTAGATTGATCCTAAGATCAACATCTTTTTGATTTGAGACTCTTCACAGTCCCTGATGGCACATTATAATTTTTCTTCCTTAGTGGTATATGAAACAATGGTGTATTTTTCAGTCAACGACAGGCTTGATAAAATATGGTTTCTGTGAGTTTTAGTGGAACTGACAGCCTGGAAATTCACACCATTTTGAACCACATTAAATAAAATGTGTGGAGAGCTGATAATTCTTTCCATCTCACTCCATTTAACAAGATCTCAGGCTGAAGAGGGGCTAAACAGATCTCGTTCTCCCACTGTGCTCTGTCTCAGTGGTTCTCGAATTTGGCTACACAATGGAATCGTGGGGAAGGGGAGTTAAAAATACTGATGCCTGCATCCTTCCTCTTTCTGCTATAGTGGTCCTGAGATGCCACCTGGGGACCAGGAGCTCCACAGGTGATCTGAATGCACATTCAAGTTTGAAAACACTGCTCATCTCATTTTAAAAGCATCACTTGGCAACTGCTCAGCCAAACACCGGGGAGTCTTACTGACTCCTCTCTCCCCACGTTCCTCTCCTCTCAAGTTTCTCCATTCTTTATTCCTCTGCCTTGGTTTAAGCCCCATCATTTCTGCTCCAGATCCTTGCCTCCAATCTCTGTCCAATCCTCTGGGGTCCTATTTCTTCATTCTGTAACCACATTGCTGCAAGATAGATTTCTTAGTTCTTAACCTAATTAAGCCCTAATTTGGGCTCTTCTGACTAAAACTTACCTCCTTCGCAGGGTGCACAAGCTCCTTCCAGATCTGGCTGCTACCCACCTCCCCAGCTCTGGCTGTAGGTCCTCCCCACAAACACCCAGTGTTCCTGGGAAACCGAGTGGCTCCGGTTCCCAGAACGCGTGACTCCCTTTTGTTCCGTTATGTCTTGGCACCCAGTGTTCCCTATGCCTTCATCTCTTGTCACTCAGCTTTACAGCAAAGGCTTTTCTGCAGACCTTTCTCCAAGTGCTGGCCATCCCTGCAAAGAGATGGGCCCTCACATTTGTACTACTACACCTGTCTGTGATGGCAGTGAGCAGGGCCACCGGTAGCTCCAGTGATGCTGGGAGCTCCTTGGTGGGCCATAGAGGGCAGGCGGAGACTGCATCTGACATTTCTACATCTCTGGTACTCAGAGCAGAACCGAGTCTCATTCTGTGTTTTCGGGAAGTGACAGCTTTTATGATTGCAGAGTGCATCTCGTGTGGTCAGAAAATGCCTTTGTTTAAAATACTCTAAGGGCACCTGACATTCAGTTAAGCATCTGGCTCTTGATCTCAGCTCAGGTCATGATTTCAGGGTTGTGAGATTGAGCCCCATGTTGGGCTCCATGCTGGGCATGCAATCTGCTTAAGATTCTCTCTCTCCCTGCCCCTCTTCTCACCTTGCGCGTGTGCACACACACTAAATAAATATTTTAAAAATAAAATACTCCAAGGAAAGTCCAAAGTGTTAATTATTGAACGTGGTTGATGAACACATGGGGATTCGTTATGCCATTCTCTCTACTTTTGCTTGACATTTTTTACAATAAAATGTTAAAGAAAAGGTCTTTGCTTGAGAGCCTGCTTTGAAAAATAAGGAAATGGAAATTTTATTCCTGCATCTGCATTCCTGAATCTTTTGGGGCCCTGACCGGAGACTTTAGCCCAATTTCATTGTGAGAAACTTTATTTAACAAGAATCCCTGACAAATGGGGTGAAATTGGTAATTTACAACCATATTAAATCCTTACCTTCTTTATTTCCTTTTTTGTTATGTTTCTTCAACCATTCAATATTTTTTCTGATGGCTTCCAAATAGGCTTCGGTTTTCCCTGGAAAAGGGAAGAGAACCCATATCAAACACTCATAAACTATCACTGCATTTCTTTCGAAAGACCACACTCTTGTTCGGAACCATAAACACTGACCTTGTGGAGCATTTGTGAAGTGGTGTCCCTAATGAAGTGGGGTGCATATTTGTGTGCGTGGTGGGGAGGAATGTCGAGAATGGGTAGGGATAGGATTCCAGGAGATAGGATCAGGCTCGTGCTAAGGAGCCATTACACACACTCACATACACACGCGCGGTCTGAGGTCCTAGCAGAGAAGAGTTTTGATTCCGTTCACTGGATAAGTGGATGTCTTCAATTCTCAGACTGCATCATTTCTGGTTCAGAATGGTTCTTCAAAACTGAGGAGTATTCTCAGGTCAAGAATTAAATCGGAGTGGCAGATACTGCAAAGCTTCCATCAGCAAATAAATGATGTTAAGTATGTCTCAGTTTGTGGCTTTGTATAGGCCCTTATATAAGTCTTCTGCCCAATCTGGTAGGGAGCATGGAAAAACTCAGGTGAAGAGGTGACCTGGGCCTCCTTTCAAGGTTTGGATGTGAACCTTAGAACACACTCTAATGGACGCCTGGGTGGCTCAGAGGTTGAGTGTCTGTCTTCGGCTCAGGGCGTGATCCCTGGGTCCTGGGATCAAGTCCTGCATCAGGCTCCCCACAAGGAGCCTGCTTCTCCCTCTGCCTAGGTCTCTGCCTCTCTGTGTCTCTCATGAGTAAATAAATAAAATCTTTTTAAAAAAGAAAGAACTCACTCTAGTAAATTTCCCCTGAATATAAACACTGTCCCATGGGCCTCAGGTGCAGCGAGAGAAAACTAGTCGGCACTGAAGTGCCTGCTTCACGATGCCCTTTATATACACTGGGGTCTGCAAGTGGGTATTATCAACCACTTAGAGATGAGGAAATTAGCACTCAGGCCAAGTGACTTGGCTGAGGCCACACAGGAAATAACCAAAGTAGAATTTAGACTCTGGTCTTACCAGGTTTCTGCTACCTACACTATCTGAAAGAAAAGCTCTGTCTTCAGATATGGATACTGACGTGGCCTAGTCTTTTTCAAAGAAAGCAACCACACCTGAAACCAGGTGAGGTCTCTAGTACTCAGAAGGTCTGTACCAATGGACCAGGTGGTCTGGAGGATTCCAGATGGCCCGAGAAAAGCCTTCAAAGTCCAAGAGCTCCGCAAGAAGCAATGGCTACCAAAGTTCAGTGGTGACTATGGATTCTGTGCCCCCTTTGAGCCCTGTTACCTCTGGTGTACTGCCCAGACTTACTGAGTTACCTGTACTGTGTGCTTAGGATGTGCTAAGGGGTGTGCTTTGCGCTCCAAAATGCGGTTATCTCTTTTACTCTTCACAACAACTTCTTAGGGCAATCTCGTTTCATCCCCACTTTACAGATGAAGAAACCAAGGTGAAGAGAGACAAAGTAACATGCTGAAGATCATATGGCTAGCAATTTGGGGAGCTAGGCTTGAGCCCGGGTGCATCTGACTACAGACCATGAACAGTAACACTGCCTTTGGTGTTCCAGTTACTGGAACTGGTGTTCTGGTTTCCACTACAGCATTTACCTAAGTGATCTCCTGAGTGAGCATCTTTCTTCCTCATCTTATAAGCCCATACTTGTACCTCACCACTGGGACTCCATGTTATCTGGACCCCAAAAAAGCACAGAGAAGCTCTTGTGCAAAAGCAGTGAATGGAGAAGGGAAGAGATCCACGATTTTCAGCTCCTATTCACTGCAACCACCTGTATAGAAAAAGTCTTTATTTCAGTGCTTTGTTTTTAAGAATGTTGGAGCATGTGAAAGACCAAGTCCTCCTGGCTGATGTTATAACATTACAGTGAATATACTGAAATTCATTGTCTGTTGCCTGTTTGTTGAGAAGGTCAGTTGGATTTGTTAACATAAAAACAGTGTTCTCTATTTCAAATTAACTCAGATAGAAACGGCATTTTGAACAAAGAAAGAAATCTTAGTGTAGACTATTTCTAAAGAATGCAGCTTCATTGTTTTTTCAGAGTTTAAATCAAATTAGTAGCTCTTATAGGACTAACAAATAGATAATTTGTCATTAGCACACTAATTAGGGCTTCTGAAACTTTTGAGAATGTTTGAAAATAGTCTGTTATTTAAATGTTAAGCATTTGCCCCACAATCTTATTTATGATATATTATCATGTGGAAAGCTTAGTCAAGGAAAACCTGGGTCACCTGGGTAGTTCAGTCAGTTAAGCATCTGCCCTCAGCTCAGGTCATGATCTCAGGGTCCTAGGATTCAACCCCACATTGGGCTCCCTGCTCAGCAAGGAGTCTACTTCTCCTATTTCCTCTACCCCTTTACTGTGCTCATGCTCTCTCTCTCAAATAAATAAACATTTTTTAAAAAGTATTCAACATACGGAGAAATAAAAATTAAAAAAAAAAAAAAAAGGAAAACCTGAACTTAACCTCTGTATAAATACTGTGTTAAAAGTCTGAATTATAAGAGCACCTGGGTGGCTCAGTCGGTTAAGTGTCTGACTCTTGGTTTTGGCTCATGTCAAGATCTCAAGGTTGTGAGATTGAGCCTTGCATTGGGCTCTCTGCTTGGCAGGGAGTCTGCTTAAGATTCATTCTCCCTCTCTGTTCCTCACCTAATGATGGACAGAATTGGTAGATAAATACCCAGTTTCCTTTTGCTTCAGGAACATTCCATACAGCCTCCCAGAGATCCCCAGTGGGACTGAGCCCCAACTGTCCACAACTGAAGCCCACTTGTGAGTCCACCTTACATGAGCTTCTTTCCTCTCCCTGTCTCATATACCTCTTCCCCCCAGTGGTGTTTCCTGGGGTCATCTCCAGTCAAACTTGACTTCAAATCCTTCTCTCGGCATCTGCTTCAGAAGGAACCCAACCTAAGGCAATTTTAAATGGGGGACTTGGCATCATCTTGTTGGGTTGCTTTTTGCTCAGGAACCAATTTCCTGAATGTTAAATTTTAGGGGCACCTGGGTGGCTCGGTTGGTTAACCATTTGCTCTTGGCTTAGGGTATGATCACAGGGTCCTGAAATTGAGTCTTGCATCAGGCTCCCTGCTGAGCGAGGAGCCTGCCTTTCCCTTTACCTCTCCCTCTGTGCCTCCTCCAGCTCATGTGCTCTCTCTCTCTCAAATAAATAAATAAAATCTTTTTTAAAATGTTAAATTTGGGATCCTTGGGTGGCGCAGCGGTTTAGCGCCTGCCTTTGGCCCAGGGCGCGATCCTGGAGACCCGGGATCGAATCCCACGTCGGGCTCCCGGTGCATGGAGCCTGCTTCTCCCTCTGCCTGTGTCTCTGCCTCTCTCTCTCTCTCACTGTGTGCCTATCATAAATAAATTTAAAAAAAAAAGATTTAAAAATGTTAAATTTTAAAAAGTATGAAATGCATGAAAGTAATTTCATTCACCATATTGATATTACCAACCCATAACAGAATGAGTTTACTGCAGCTTATAGGAATCTATACCGTAATCCATAAAAAAAAATACTGTCTTATAGATCATAACAACATATGATTAGGATAGTTTCTCTAGGTTTTTTTTTTTTTTTGTGATAGTCACAGAGAGAGAGAGAGAGAGAGAGAGAGAGAGAGAGAGGCAGAGACAAAGGCTGAGGGAGAAGCTGGCTCCATGCACCGGGAGCCCGACGTGGGACTCGATCCCGGGTCTCCAGGATCACGCCCTGGGCCAAAGGCAGGTGCTAAACCACTGTGCCACCCAGGGATCCCTAGTTTCTCTAGTTTATTTATTGTTTAGGATTTATTCATTTATTTATTTATTTATTTATTTGAGAGTGAATGAGTGTTGGGGGAGAGGAATAGGTGAGAGATAATCCTCAAGCAGACTCTGCAATGAACTCAGAGCAGCACTCCATCCCACAACCCTGAGATCATGACCTGAACCCAAACCAAGAGTCAGATGCTCAACCGACTGTGCCACCCAGATGCCCAGTTTTTCTAATTTAAAATACCCCCATCCTCCTCATCCCCCTCTTTTGCTTTTTTATCCATTGCACTTATCACTTTCTACCAAATCATATAATTTATGTGAGCTTATTGTCTTCCTCCCTTAGAAATATTTGTTAGCTGATAAAGCCTGACATGTAGTCTACCGATAAGTATTTGTCAAATAAGTGAATGGGTAAAGGCTTCTTAGATAGAAGCCAAATTGTAATCAGAAGGATACAATTTTTTAAAAGTATAAATGGTATAGATTTCTTTTTTTATCCAAAAAAATGAATTATTTGAAAAACTTGAAGTTTAATGAATTCTGAATGGATAGTTATAGCAGACACAATTTAAAATACCTACAAATAGGCTAGACATACTATATCCATATACCATTTAATCTTCACAGACCTCTATGAAATTAGCATTATTATTCTCATTTTACTCATGAGAGAACTGACACTTGGAGAGGTTAAGTGACACATCCAAGGGGACACAGCTGAGTAAAAATCAGAGCCTGGTCTTGAACCAGAATGAATCCAGAGCCTCTACTGCGTGTAGCTGGGTAAAATCCACCTTTTAGACTAAAAACGATTTAGTGCCTGTTGTTGTTAACAAGCTGGCCAACAAGGCAGTGGTTATCAATCTTGGCTGCACACTAGAATCACTTAGAGAAGATTTTTAAAAATCCTATGCCAAGGTTACTGTTCATACCAATTAAATTAGACTATCGAGAGTTGAGGCCAAGCATCATTAAAAAAAATGGTCTTGAGGGGATTCACATGTGGGGGAATTTTGGGAATCACTGCCACCAGCATTGAGACCTCCATACATTTACCAGAGTACTGGTGACAAGGTGAATAAAGTCAGGTGTCCCTCTGCTATTGGAGAGAAGCAGCTGGTTCCTGTTTACATTTTCTCTTCTCAGGAGCTATAAAGCAAATCTTTTATTTACACAGTGTGCAGTAAAAGCCTATGAGAGTCCACTTTGGAAAGCTGGACTATTTTTTTCAA